AACGACCCAATTTTTTGGGTTATTTATCTAGATTCAGCTCCACGTACATCTAGATGCACGTGGACCTGAATCTAGATAAATAACCCAAAAAATTGGGTCGTTTTTGCTTGGGTAGATAAACCATGTCTGAAGGAGACATTCAGAAAGAAATCGGGCATATTATAGACTTCACATTTGGTGAACTTACCAATCATTTGTAATTTGGTTCTATCAATAAACAAAAAAGATGACAAATTCTGCGATACTGTTCGATGTCCTGAAGAATATGATTAGAAAAAGGGTTATACTTTCTTTTCACTATTTTTTTGCAAGCATTTTTGTTCCACTATCACACGTTGAAGATTTTAGAGAGAGAGAGCAGTATTCTGCTCTTTTTTTAAGCTCTGATCTAACAGCTGATGAGCTAAAATAAATATTCAAAAGCGATGGACTTGTACATAATCGATCAAGAGGCAATAAAAACAAAAATGCTTTATTCCTCTAACAAAAGAAGGTTTGACTCGGAAATTTGGGTTTCGTAACGGATGACTGAATTATCAGTTAAAAAGCAATGGAAAACATACACATCAATTATCTTTGATTTTTACATTGGGTAGTTGTTGCTTTTGAACATTTGTATCTCTTAATAATACTTGCGTCTCAAATTTCTCATCATCATCATCATCATCTTGTCTCGTTTCTATATACGCTTTGAACATCTTGAGAATTTTGTTTGTTGAATTGAATGATTCAATCACATCATATATCAATCTAAAATAGACAATATATTATTGAATCAGTGTCAATAAACAAAGTGGTTTATAGGCAGAGAAGAAAAAAACTGTATCCATAAAATATATTTTCTAAATAATAATACTTCCTTCTTTAGACACCATAAGAACTCTACTCAGTTATTAACTCAGTATAAGTGATTAGGATAAAGAAATTTTATTTTTTACAATGACGTGTCAAAAGCAAGCATAAGCAAAAATTAAGAATATATATTTTCTTTTTCTTTTCTTTTTTAATATTCTAGTCAATATTGTAAGATTGGAGGAAAAAACACTTATGAATATCAAGAAAAAGATAGAAAAAAAGAATCAGTTTTTCTTGTTAGACTGAAGTTACTTGAGACGCATAATCGAACGTAGTTTGTGTTTTGTGCAATACAGAACAGACATGAACGGAAAAACATTCAAAGGATACAAGTCATCTAGCTTATTTTCCTGACAGTATTAAAAGAGATTGAACAGACATTGTTGCTATACCTTTCAAGAGAAAGAGAAAAACATATTTTTTTTAATTATGTTCAACATTACATGCAAATACTTTTGCCCAGAGTCAAAAGATAATAGACTATGAGATTAGTCAATCGTATTGTAATTATAATAATAATAAAAATCGCGAAACAAAGTTTGTAGTAATTAAAATTCGGCTGACTTTGAAAATATATTGCACTCAACTATGGGAGGAACCATCGGACCATGGCCAAGTGCAATTTTAGCCTCGGGCCAATAAGATTTTGAACTATGTGACTTCCTCAGTGAAAGATTTGAAAAAAAGGTTGTTGGGTCAGTTTTTTCTCCAACTATCATAACGTAGCCCACTCGGCTTTTTCGAAGTAATGGAGATTGGCCCAATAGTAAAAAAATCCTGGTTGCGCCCTTGCCGTAAAAGATTATTATTACAAACAGTTACACACCCCTTTATGCTCGTCGATTTGTTGTATGCCAAATCTGTTTTTTTTTCATACACTTTTTTACATTAACAAGAACATACATATTTCTGTTTCCTTTTAGAAAAAATTTTGTTATCCTTACTTATATTCCACAGAATAACAGATATTTATGGGTTATGATGATACAAAACGAACAACGAAAAAAAAATAGAATATACATATCTAGACCATACATATTTTTAATATCGTGTTGACATGACTCATTCGTAATAAATTGTGTCCATCATTTTCTATACGCCACCGTTTTAAGTTCTTATACAAAATTATTTTCCTTTCCACACAGAGAGAATAACCCACTAAGATATTTTACATCAATAATGTAGGGCAACTACAGAAAAATAGAAAGACTTGACGCATAATTATTCTATATCACATGTTACAAAGAATCCCTCAAAATATAACGTCCATAAATCATAATTATTATGCCAAACTTTGCATATGGTACAACAAAACAAGATTATTTGTGAGAATGCAAAAATATGGCCCACAATTGTATTTTACAGATTTCATCGAGAAGATTTTGTTATCAACTCAATGGGAATCACCTAATATTATTGTGATTGTTTAGATTGGACATCAGAAGAGAGAAGTTAGAAATCATTCGTTAGTGCTATTGGACGTTCTAAATGACAGATCTTCAGATTTTTATTTAGATAATTTTAGATGACTTTTCTTGTTGTTGTCGTTGTAATAATTCACATGGATCATTTCATATTGATGTACGTGTCACAGTAGAATTTAGAATTCTGGTAGGAGAGAAATTGAAATAAGCGCTGATTTTAAGTTATACTGGTCGAAATTAAAATTTTAAATTCTTCTAGAAAGCATTTTTTTCTACTCCGAAAGTATTTTAACTTCTACAGTAGACATTAAAATACACATGTAGGCGGATATGTACAAGCACAGGCGTTACTTATTGGCAAGACAGACAGCAACAAAAGAATGATGATATGTAGGAGAAAAGAACAGCGAAAGAAAAGAGTTTCGATGTATAGCCTAAACGTTGAATCTCCAAACGAGAAATTTCGTTCAAATATTGTTATGAAACAAGCTGTTTATAGTGATATTATTATATTGGTATTAAAAAATAGTTGGAGTGACGCTCGGTTTAAATTTTAGGTTAATAGACATTTTAAATTATCCAATATTGATGAATTGCAAGTTGTTTATAGTACTAAATCAACTAATCCGGTGATGATATATAAACAATTATAGGGTACTTCCGAACTAGAGATAGGCACTGGACCAAAAAGTTTTACCTGGTTCCGGTAATAGATTTGCGTCCCATTCCATTATCTTTAGTGCTAAACTATTATTTGACTTCGGATTTTGTACAGAAATGTTTAATCTTTCAACCTATATATTTTAAAGTATATCACTGGCCTTTGTTATCAATTAATTTAGCAAATAGTATGACAGGGATCAAATTAGTCCCGGCAATGTGGTCCCAGACATTTTATTTGCTAAATTAATTGATAACGAAGGCCAGTGATATACTTTAAAATATATAGGCTGAAAGAGCAAACATTTCTGTACGAAATGCGTGGTCAAATAATAGTTGACTACTAGTTAATGAAATGGGACGCAAATCTTTACCGGAACCAAAAAAGTTTTGGTTCCGGTGCCCATCTCTATTCCGGAAGGTCCGCCCACTTTATATACGACTGGAAGCTGGGGAGGTTTGACTATATGCGTTTCTTAGAGCTACTAAAAGCATGTATAAGCCCATAGCCGCTCCCTAGAAAAGTTATTCAGAACGCGGTTTTTCCTTGGCAATAATTTATGAATTTTAGCGTTTTTCAGGTTTTTCTAGTCGAATATTCCGAGACTATGAGAGAACTTGATGCGCCCTGTTCCCCGTGGCTAGATAGAGCATTGAAAGCTACGTATTTGTTTCCCTGAAAGTCAGTTTTATCTTCAACATGTAAAATAATCTTCGTTTAGGGGAGGAGCATTGTTCTGGACCAAAACTGTACTTTTTATAACAGTTACAGCGAATCCAAAACAAAATGAAATTCTACAAAATTTGTAGTCAAAGAAAAGCGCCACTGAAGCTTGTCTAAATGCTACAAGAACAAGCTCGAAAATACTTACCGTTTAGTTCGAATACCCCGGCTCGCGAGTTCTACTTTTGGACTAAACATGGAAAGAGGTAGGATCTTGCACCAGAATTCAGAGCAAAATTTACAACTTGGTTTAAAATCCAAGTGAATTGTTGGATTCCATTTGATGTAGTAATTATTTTTCTTTCACAATACGATGTGTGTTGGAATCACAGAGGATTTCCAAAACCATTAGCTAGTATGACTTTTTTCTTTCATAAATTCTGTTTTACAACCGCTTTCTCGTAATAGAAAAAGCTGAAGATCGAATCACGGAATTATTCTGGTGACGTCTGTCATAACCCTCGTGGGGGGGGGGGGGGGGGGGGGGGGGGGGGGGGGGGGGGGGGGGGGGGGGGGGGGGGGGGGGGGGGGGGGGGGGGGGGGGGGGGGGGGGGGGGGGGGGGGGGGGGGGGGGGGGGG